GGTCAGTATTTCCAGGATGGAGGGGTCCAGAGCTCACAAGAGTCGCATTGTCAGCAGTGGAGATGGGGGCAGAGTTGGGGGGTTGGGGAGAGGAGGTATTGTTGGTTTGGGGAAGGATTTGGATGGTGAGGGAGAGGGGGCCTGGACTTACCACCCTACTATACACTTTGCTGTCTCCATCCCAACAGTTCCAGCACATTTTGGAGCACCTGGATGGGTACCTTGGAACATCTACTGAAGTGCTGAAGTAAGTTATGTGGTGGAGAGTGGGGTGAAAAAGAGAGGAGCTGGACAGAGAGTGAGGGCAAGTTATTAGTGAGCTAGGAGAAGCTGCTGTGGTTTGCTTCTGCCTGAGTCTACAGGGAAGGGCAAGACTCTACTCCCCTCACTAAGTACTTTTGCACTCTGAGCTCGGTTTGCAGCAACTAGTAAGATGCTCAGGACAAAGAGGGAAAGTGAGAGGAGAGGAGAGCAATCAGGACACTTTAAACACAGTTGGCAAAGTGGACAGCAGAGGATGAATCGTGACTGCTAAGTGTACATGCCCCATGGCCTTCTTCCTCTCTGTGAGAAGGAATGGAGGGTCCCAAGTTCAGGTCCTGACAGGAGGAAAGGAGGAAAACCTCTCTTTTCTGGCCTCCTTCCTTCTTCTGATCTAGCAGTCAGTGTGTGTCTTCTCACAAAGTTGTAAGGAGGTTATAAGGAAATCCCTTCCCAGCCTGTTGGTCATTTTAGGATTCCCTGTCTTGGTACATTTGCTTTGGCAGGACATCTGCTGCCTCAGAGGAGGAACAGCTTGCTCTGCCTGGCCTTTTCCTTCCTCCTTTCAGGAACTACTGGCCGTAAACTCCTTGGTAAGGATCCAGGCAGCGCCAGCATGCTCATGCCCTCTAACCTTTCACAGATGAAAACCCGGACACATGTGGCCAAAAAGCATCAGAGTGTGGACAGGATGGCATAAGTCATAATAAGTCAGGAAGCTCACATAAATTAGACGAGATTGCAGCAGTTTGCTTCTGCCTGAGCCCACTGGGAAGGCCAAGACTCTGACCCTTCTCTCCTCTCCCCTCAATGAGTTAATGGAGGGCCAACTACTTTTGCACTTTGGACAGTTTGAAGCTACTGGAGTACAAGTACATAAGCTGAGAACAAAGGGGGAAAGTGCAAGGAGGAGGAGAGAGGAACAGGGACGTTTTAAAAGCAGCTGACAAAGTGGGATGGCAGAGGATTAATTGGGACTGTCCTTGCCAAACTAGACAGGTGGTGGTTGTGCAGTTGTGTGAAGAAAACTGTTGGCATGGTCTCCAAGCCATGGATCCTGGGCGCCTGGGAAGAATGGGGGAGGAAGAGCTGCCACAAGATTTGGGCAGAGAGGAAGTGAAGAAGCTGGCTGGCCGGCTGGTCCACTGGTGACCCTTTTCTTCCTCCTCAGGTGGCCCAGCCTGGAAGTGGTTGTGATGCACCATTTCGCAGCCTGGGTGCCAGTCACGATCCAAGAGGTGGAAGTGGCCGTTGCCGCCTTCCGGACGCATTGCCATGACAGCAGCAGCCTCCTGAGCCGCATCCCAGCTTGCGCTCTCCTGCGCCATGTGGGCACCTACCAGAGTGAGTGGAAGCTGTGTGCCCCCTGCCTCTGTCCATGAGGGGCCAAAGTGACCATGACCCCCTTCTTGCCCTCCTGGGCTAAAGAGGGCAAAGTGGCTGCATGGTTTGAGGGCTTCTCTGAGGCAGGGCCCCCCCTGTGCTTGTGTGAGGGAGAGGAAGGCTGAAGGGATTTGGGGCCCTGGGTGCAAGGTTCCCCCCCCCCCGCTGATGTCCTTAATTCTCTGTCCCTCCGTCCTGCTGCAGGCCTGGACCTCTGTGACTTTGGCCCCTGCGACTCTGTCTCAGCCACCTGCTCCTCCCAGGACGGCCTTCTCCGCTGCACCTGTCGATCCGGCTACCTCCAGGTCCACCCCATGGATCGTACCTGTGCAGGTAGTGTGGGGTTCCTGGGCTCAGTTGGGACCCTGGTGGGGGGGTGTTCCTCCACCATGGATGGTTGAAAGGACCTAGGCCCTGACTCTGAATGGACTGGCCATGAGGCCACCAAGTCACACCAGCGGGACAAGGGAGAGAGGGCAGTTATTCTGTGGGGTTGTGGAGTGGGTGCTGGCTGTGGGGCCCTCAGTGAACTGACCCCTTGGCTCTTCTCTGATGGAGCTGTAGGGAGAGAGGGGACAGGAGGAGACTCTTGTTCCTCACCTTCCTCTCATCTCTTCTTCCTCTGTCTTTTTCTCCTGCCCCCCCCAGCTTGCAGCAGTGGATTTTGGCTTCAGGATGGCACCTGTTCCAGGTGAGTCTCCCTGCTTCAGTGATCCACCTCCCCCTCTCCTACCTTTCCCTACTTTCCAAATATTTTACCCCTTGAACCCCCAGGAGGGCAACATCTCTCTTTGAATAGGGGGAAGAGAGTGAATGGCAGAAGTTTGTGGGAGACCACTCTTGGCCTGGCACCATTCACACAGGGTTTGGGCAAAATGCGCTATGCCCGAAGATGTTTCCCTCCCCCTGCCATTGAGGCCTGTGGGGCCACCACCTCAAGATGCCCAGAGCCAGGTCCTCTCCTGGGGTCTTGGTCTTTTGGGGGTCTGGCCAAGTGCCAAGATAGTGGTATCCTCCTCCTCCTCTGGAACGGAGGCCAGGGGCAATTTCAGCTCTGGCACAGCACCCAGCATCCAAAGATGCCCAAAGATTGTGGGTGTGAGAGAGAGCACCCCAAAGGGTCTAAGCAGGCATTTTCATGATGGTGCTTTCATCCTGAGCTTCCTCCCTCTTGCCTTGAAGGGCTGGAGAAGAAGAGCCAGCCTGGGAACCTGATTTCTGTAAAAG